TAGTAGTTGGTCTAATAGGCGATCTACATTGCCAGCAGATGCACAATTGGAGCAACTGGACTGGAGCAGGCTTGGCATGGTGCCAACAGGCGTGTTGCGATGAGCTCGCTCATTCTCATGACACTACTTTCCTGTTCATAAGTGAAAACCAACGCCTAAAAGAGGGGGTCACGCACGCCCCCCCCCCCTTTTTTTTGGTGGTTGGTAAAAATGGCGTTCTCTTGACGGATTTTACTGTTTTTGCGCCACTGACGTACTTTGAGCACCACCACATCTCCTCCAAACCCTCCTAGAACCTATCGTGATCGCTGCCTTCAGACAAATCGCATTCAAATAGCCACTGCGATTCTGGATGGGCAGTAGAATGCGTGGCGCACTTCAAAACGGAATTGGTTGCGTTATCATTTTTATGTTTTACTGAATATTGTGACAAAAAGCAAAGCGCTTCAAGGTGACATGGCCAGTCCACCATTCAGAGCGCTGTTCTGATAATTTTCTAATGTTTTTTCTGTCTGATGATGCATTCCAAAGAACATGTTCAAAACACTTACAAATTGAATGGGTTTGAAACATGTATATTTTTTAGGAAACTCTATGCGAGCAGCTCTCTCGAGAATGATTTGTCTTTACAAACTGCACCTGATACCAACTTGGGTAAACCTAAGCGGTGCCATAGTTCCATTCAGAAGATGTATTGTGAACAGCATGTCTTCGTTGATTCTGTGCATGTTGATCTCATTCCAGAACGATTTCACTGCCTGGAATTCTGATTATGAGCATATTTAACCGCTAAAGGGAAAGGAATGGGCTTTAAAAGTCGAACCCGTATAATTGCCCCATAATATGCCATGACGGAGCTGGAAGGGACTATTCCGAAATTCTCGCCAGAATAGTTGCGTGACGCCAAAGAGGAACTATTGGACGGGCACGTGTCCGCGTATTTCTGAGCCTCGAGCTCGAGATCCTTGCTGTACGTCTGAAAGCATGAAAAGATATCGCACAAACCGCAAGAAAGGCAATAAATAGACAATTGAGAAAAGGCGTTCATAGAATATTTTTTGTAAGAGGGACATGTTGTTGCAACTATTCGTGCTACTATTAAAGGTAGAATTCACAATGAAAAGGCAATCGACTAAAAATAAGGGCTAAATTGTCAGTGTGGTTCCGGAAGGAAAGGAGTTCTATCAACGTTAATGTTCTCACAGCTAGGAGGCTAGAACTAGAGGGGGAATAGGTGGGCGGGGAACTAGCGATAGAGGTCTGCACCCGTAGATAGTCTGCCTGTTTTTTTCGCTAGATAGAGTTCCCCTTCTTAACCTAACGACCTTATCGCAGAATCTCCCTTTCACAAAATAATATGTCAAGATTGTATAGTCTGCTCGAACTTAAAGGCATTATACAGAAAAGAAGATTTGAAGGTTTAGAATAGATAACCTATAAGTAGCTATACTATCTTCAGAAGGCTGTTTGACGTTTTTGACATGGCAATCGTTTTCTGATGCTTGTTCTGGAAGCGTGTTATTAGATTTTTATAGGTATTACGTGAGTGGGTTGGCAAAAAGAACATGCGAGTCGAGAGCTACGTACCACCGTCCTGAAGACTTTATATTAAATTTCTCGAAACGATTGCTACTGTGTTTATAGAGATAGAAGCTCTTACTATGGCATAACTGCTGTTCGGAAACTCCTTCAGAAAACGTCGTAATGGTATGGGATCCGACGGCCCCATCGAGCCGACCAGTGCACCATGTCTCAAGGGAATTTTCTGATCGTTGTCTACGTAAAGGACCACTATGAAGTAAATTCAATGAAATCGAATATGTTCTTGAATTGCAGCTTGGACCATTTCCGGTTTGAATTTTAGCAATGTGGCCAAATATGAATTGAGTGTGGATACAAAATGTCGCCCCCTTCCCCCGTACAGGGTGGCCGAAAAGTATAGGACGCGGCTTTGACCGCTTGCTGGCACTGAGCCGTGGAGTATTTTCAGAGTGTTTCGAAACTCTTCGAAAGCTTTGAAACTATGTAAGAAGCACCATAAGTTGTTTGGTCCAAAGTTCATCTGAACTCTCGCCATGAAGATTTTTTGCATCGACCCATTACCAAGAGGCTGCCCAATGACGGTCTCTGAAATTGCAACTTCGGAAAGCGACTCGGTATTCCCTCTTCAACTCTTTGAAACATGTTCGGTGCTCTCAAGGTTCAAGCACACGTCTCTGGGATTGCGAAAAGTGGAAGTTCAAGAACTGTGCACACTCAGAGGATTGGGGCAATCACCTAGAAGAGGATGGCTCACAACGATGAAGCCAGCGTGAGTCACATCGCTTTTGATCTCAGGATCTGCCGTCACTCCTTCCAGAAAATCTTGGGAAGCATCATTATTTGAAAGGTTACCGACTCTTTCTATGCTGGTTTTTATTGGAGCAACCCGAATAGATTCAACTGATAAAATGCAAAAAGTTTCTGCACGAGCTCGAGGTGCGCCGCATCTCTCTTACGGATTGGGTTAATGAGAAAATTTTCGAACTAAACTTCTTTGCGACCACCAAAGTCAGAGGCAGTTGTTGCCAAAAAGTGAGAGCAAGTCTCCGAGATAACGTCTAGTTTACAACAGACTTTCTCCCGAAGGTGTGGTAGTTTGTGACGGGGTAACATCCAAAAGTGCAGCTCCATTGGAGTTCATCTTCCACAAATGTTAAAATTAACTCGAAGGTCTTGCAAAAGACTTTATTAGGTACGGTATGCTGTTCTGGATTTACGAGTATTTTACTCAATGATCGTTTGTTGTTCTGGATTTACGAGCATTTTGCTCAATGATCGTTTGCTCTTCAATGAAGCTGGGCTCCCTAATACGCGTTCAAATCGACCAAAGCCATCCTGGGCGCTCACTTCCCGGGCCACTGGAGCAAGGAATTGTGACCTTCTTCCTCTCCTTAACCCGATGGACTCCTCTATGTGAGGATGTTGTAGAGCAAGACCTCATAAGACTTCTCCAGCTCGGTGGGTGCTCTGAAGTTAGCGCTTCAGAAGAGGTGGGACGACATCGCCGTTGGCTACCTGCGGCGCACTGCTGATTTTGTCGTTGGACGTCAGAAGGCCTCTCTCAAAGCAGAGTCGTCAAATTCAAAGCACCTTCTGCACAAGTGATCAAATAGCTTAACTCTATCTTTGTGTGAAGTCGGTTTCCTGATCGAGTCTCTTTCTTGTCTTTTACACACAAAAACATGGCGTCCTATACTTACCAATTCATATATATTCTTTCCTTGTGGAGCATTTTTGCCTGATGAACCATTCGGCACTAGTCCTTGAGCGAGTCTCGATCTGAAAGGTTAAGTCCGTGAAGGAAAACAAAACATGAATACTATGAGGGGTAACAGTTGGTGATGCTACGGCATCTCCTTTTTTTCAAGACGGAATTCATCATGAACTGTCCAACCCAGGTTCTTAACAAAAAGAGTGTACCTGCGGTAGTTGTGCATAGTCACAATTTTTGTGCGAA